GGTTTTTGCGCCTGCGCCGCCCTGGCGGGGGAAAAAAGGCGAGCGTCTGCGCCTTCGCTGTGCGGTGCCTGCGTGCACGTCGCTCTGCTTTCCGTGCCTGCAGCCGCAGCCGCGCCGGGCTGCCTTTTGCGCGCGCCGGGCGCCTCCCCCCCCGCTCCTCCCGCAGCGCGCTTGTTTGCATTGCCCCCCGCGCCCCCGTCTTTCCTCCCACGTCCAACACACACGTGAATGACGTGGCTGCCGCACGACAGTGAGCGGGGACACGTCAGCTGATTGATTAGCGCAAATACACACACAAAAGCACACGCACACGAATATATTTATAAAATTGGGGCCAACAACAAAAAGGGGTCTTAGCAAACGAGCTGCCAGTGGCGAGGTCCAGGGCGCACACGCATAGATTGAGACCCGCAAGGAGATTTGTGTTTGACTTATGCCCGCGGCACGGAAGGAGTTTCACATCAACCCCCGTGTGGTGGCGGCGCAGTACGCGGTGCGTGGGCTGATCCCCATGCGGGCGGACGAGATCAAGAAGGCGCTGGCGACGCCGGAGGGGAGGGCCAAGTACCCCTTCTCCAGCCTTGTCTACTGCAACATCGGCAACCCACAGGCGCTGGAGCAGGCGCCGCTGACGTTCTTCCGGCAGGTGATGTCGCTGATCGACGCGCCGTTCCTGCTGGAGAACGAGCAGGTGACGTCGCAGTACCCGGCGGACGCCGTGGCGCGTGCGCGGGAGTACCTTGGCCACATCGGCAAGGGCACGGGCGCCTACACGGACTCCGCGGGCTACGCCTTTGCCCGCGAGATTGTGGCGCGGCGCATCGACGAGCGCGACCACGGCGCACAGCCGCCGGCGGACGCCTCCTCCATTGTGCTGACGGACGGCGCGAGCACGGGGGTGCGGCTGCTGCTGCAGATCCTTGTGGGCGGCGCCGGCGACGCGGTGATGATCCCCATCCCGCAGTACCCGCTGTACACGGCGCAGATTGCGCTGCTTGGCGGCACGCCCGCGATGTACTACCTGCGCGAGGGGGAACACTGGGCCCTGAACGCGGAGGAGCTGGCGTCGGTGTACGACGAGTGCGTGGCGAAGAGCAACGCGACGCCGCGCGTGCTGGTTGTGATCAACCCCGGCAACCCCACCGGCGGCGTGCTGGAGCGCGGCGTGATGGAGTCGGTGGCGAAGTTCTGCTGCGACCGCGGTGTTGTGCTGATGGCCGACGAGGTGTACCAGGAGAACATCTACGCGGAGGGGAAGCGGTTTGTGAGCTTCCGCGAGGTGGTGCTGGGGATGCCGGCGCCGTACAACACGGACACGGTGCTGGTCTCGCTGCACTCGACGTCGAAGGGGATCATTGGCGAGTGCGGACGCCGCGGCGGGTACTTTTGCTGCACAAACTTCCCCGCGGCGCTGCGGGAGCAGGTGACGAAGATGTGCTCCATCAACCTCTGCAGCAACGTGAATGGGCAGGTGATGACGGCGCTGATGTGCTCGCCGCCGCGGCGCGGGGACGCGAGCTACGAGTCGTACTGGGCGGAGTACAATGGGATCTTCGCGAGCCTCAAGAAGCGCGCCCTGCTGCTCGCGGAGGAGCTGGGCAGCATCCGCGGGTTTTCGTGCCAGCCGGTGGAGGGGGCGATGTACGCGTTTCCGACGATTCAGCTGCCGGAGAAGTACCTGCAGCACAATGCGGAGCTGAACGCGAAGGAGGGCCGCACGCTTGCGCCCGACGCGCGCTGGGCGCTGGAGCTGCTGGAGAACACCGGGGTGGTCGTGGTGCCCGGCTCTGGCTTTGGGCAGCTGCCCGGCACGCTGCACTTCCGCACGACGATCCTGCCGCCGGAGGCGCAGATGGAGCGGGTGGTGAGGGCGGTGCGGAGCTTTCAGGAGGGCGTGTGGGCCAAGTACGCGTAGCGCGCGCCGCCCCGGAGTCCGCGGAGGTGCGTGCAGCGGCAGGGAATAGGGAGAGAGAGCGGGAGGGGAAGGCGCGCGTGTGTGGGGGCGGGGCACTGCGGGGTGCTGCCCTCCCCTGCAGTGGGCGAGCGTGAGACGGGCGCCTTGTTGGTTGTGGGACGACCTAATGAAGACGGAGGCAGCTATTAACGGGAGGTGGACACCCTGAGGCGAGGTGCTTCATTGTTTCGGGTGACCACGCGATGAAGGGAAGGAGGAAACTAAACTGAAAAAACGAACAAACAAGCAAACCAAACTTTTGGTTGCATACGGCGGAAACGGACCTGGGAAGCGTAATTAATGTAAGGAAACTTGTAAACGAAAACGACATTGAGACGCAGAGTGGGTGAGACAGTAAATGCGTGAGAGTGTTCTTGACGACAACAAAAGCAATAATAAAAACCATCAGCATGCACGCCAGCGTGTGCCGACGGTGTGGGTACTGGCTGTTTAATGGCATGCCCGTGTGCGTGTGTGTGTATGGGTCTGCAGCCTTTGCCGGCGCCCCGCTGCGACGCAAAGTGCCCTCTTCGTGCCTCTCCATCCTGCCCTCTCGCTGCTGCCGCGTAGGCGTGGCCACTGTGTGTGTAGGTCAACGAAAGAATTCAAGCGTAGGGGTGGGGTCGCGAAGGGGGAAACTTCCTGGCAGCAGCAACAGCTACAACTTACGCACCTCCCCGCCGCGTTGCGCTTTTTGGGCCGTGTAAAGGTGTAAACACATTTTC